GTGTGGGTGTGTGGGTGGGTGTGTGCGTGCGTGTGTGTGTGGGGGGGGCATCTGTTCATCCATCCTGGTCTTTATATAACTCAGAATCCACCCTACACTGTTATGACCTCATTAACATAACAAAGCCTCCTAGTTTCCAAACAGAGTCCTATTCCAGACAGGTACCAAACCAGAAACCAAACCTGTTGCCATTGAGTCGATTCTGTCTCATAGCAACCCTATAGGACAGAGTAGAACTGCCCCCTAAGGTTTCCAGGAAGCAGCTGGTGAATTCAAACTACAGACCTTTTGGTTAGCAGCCAAGCTCTTAACCACGGCGCCACCAGGGCTCCAAACAGGTACAGGGATTAAGATTTCAACACATTTTTGGGGACACAATACAATACATAACAGGGAGCAGAGCTCTAGCTGCAGTACAGCAGAGAGAGCTGACGTGCAGTAACTGTATCTTTCTGCAGTGGTTGTCTGTACAATCGGAGTTTATTTGGTCAGTATTTTTTAAAAATTAGTTACCTTTGTTGAAAGTATACGTAGCAAAACATGCCCTAACTGAACACTGTCTACGTGTACAATTCAGTGACATTGGTTACATTCTTCAGGTTGTGTCACCATTCTCACTGTCCTTTTCCAAATTATTCCTCCACCTCTGACATAGACTCACTGCCTCCTCATATTCTTATTTAACTGTTGGAGCTGCTGTTGGCAGTTTGATGGTCAGTGTTTTTCCTTTTCGTTGGTTTAGATAGCCTTTCTTAATTCCTGAAATCTAGTTAAGAAATTAAAATTATTGTATGAGTACACCTGTGGATGAACTGACATAAGAGTAAGTTTCTAATTGATTAAAAAAGGCCAAATACTTGCCTATTTCTTTGCCTTTCTGAAATGAAGTACTTCAGATGTACCTTAACATTATTTAGGCTGTCAGGCAAACAAGTGGAATAATACTCTCTTCCCAGTGGTTATTGCAAAAATGAGTCGTTGTTGTTTGTGGCAGGGTTGTGAGGCAGTCTAGCTTTATTTGATTAAAAACTAAAGAGCTGAAACAGGAATTGTTATATAGATTAGATAAACAAAAAATCTACCAAATATTTACTTAAGTGCTGAAATGTCATGTTGAGATTGTAACTACTAGTCCCGCCAAGTTTGCAGTCCTGATGCTGTTGCTTTTGTAGCCCACCAGAGAGGAAGTAGTAGTGAGATTGAAAAACATTTATCTTTTTGTTTAAACTGGTGAGGAATAATAGAAGAGCAAAAAAGAAAATGATGCGAATATATATGGTATGCTAAGTTTTGTGTCTGTCGTCATTCCAGAAGAACTGGAGCCAGATTTCAGTAATGGCATTGGTTTCCTTTTCTGTTACACGTGCGTTTCTCTTAAATGTATTTTTGTTTGATTTTTGACGTACAGAATCTTTTTTTGTTTTTTCTCTTCAGTCAAAATGTTTTCCCCTTTGGCAATTTATGGTTTATTTTAGGCTTTAAAAATCTGTTAGAAATAAAATAAATACCCACCTGTATTTTCTGCTATCTCTTTATAGTGTAATGTTATGTTTCAAGACTTTTTTTTTTTTTTTTTAATTTGAGGGGTTTTTTTTGATGAATGGTATAAGGATGTAGATTTTCAAAGTAGTTAACCAATCGTCCTGACATTGTAATTCATTCTTTCCTCATTGATTTGTGCTGCCATTTTAATCATCTGCTAATTTCTTTTATCCTAGATGCTATTTCTATGCTATTTGTTTTGTTCCATTTATCAGATTTTTGCACCTGTACCATGCCGTTTTAATTACAGTGATTTTTTTTAAAAAAATCAGAAACTCTTTTAACGTTTGACAGAGCAGATCTTTTCTCTGTTCTAACGTAGCTTTAATTTTAAGCTATGGAAAGAAGATCTTTTAAAATGGTTTTATTTTGTGAATCGACAAATGAAAAATAAGAGATGAAGAAGGTATACAGTGTAAAAAGCTCACTTTCACTCCTGACTCCCCTTGCCCCATCCTCTCCCCTGTACCTGTCCTACTTCGATTAGTCTTCTTGTATATTCTTCCAGAGTTTCTTCATGTCAATATAGTAAATGTAAATATATGTATCTTATGTTTTTGTCCTTTTCTTACATAAACTGGTAATCATACAGTCCGATTCTCATAGCGACCCTGTAGGACGAGTAGAACTGCCCCATAGGGTTTCCAAGGAGCATCTGGTGGATTCAAACTGCCGACCTTCTGGTTAGCAGCCGAGCTCTTAACCACTTCTCCAGGGCTCCTTTACCTTTTCTTATGTAAGAGGTAGCATATGTGCTCTGTTCTTTGCTGTGCTTTTCTAACTTCACAATGTTCTAACTTCACTGTATGGGTATACCACGATTGATTTCTATAGTCCTGTTGATGGACACTTGAGTTGTTTGTAAGCTTCTGCTGTTATGGACATGCAGTGCCATTTAGTATGTATATGTGCCTAATAGTAGAATAAATTCCTAGGTAAGGGCCCACTGGGCCAAAAGATAAATTCATCAGTTATTTTGGTAAATATCACCAAATTGTGCCAGTTTGCATTCTTAATTGCAGTGATAAAACCAAAACCAAACCCACTGCTGTTGAGTTGATTTTGACTCATAGTAACTGTTGGACAGAGTAGAACTGCCACATCTTTCTCCTGTGGAGTGGCTGGTGGGTTGGAACCGCTGACCTTTTGATTAGCAGCCAGTGTTAGAGTGCCGATTTATTTCTACACAGCTTCAGAAATAGTATATTTTCACCCCTGCACACCCTTGTAACTCAGTACACAAGTCATTCCTGATGTTCACCCTTCAGCCAAAGACTGGACAAACAATAACACAAACAGAAACACATGTAGTTCAACCATGTGTACGAGGCTAAATGGGCACACCAGCCCAAAAGCAAAGATGAGAAGGCCAGGACAGGAAAGCTGGATGAATGTAAATGGGGAAGCCGAGGTCGAGAAGGGGAGAGTGTTGACACATTGAGGGGTTGGCAACCAGTGTCACAAAACAATATGCATGTTAATTGTTCAGTGACAAACTAATTTGCTCTGTAAACTTCCACCTAAAGTACAATCTAAACAAAAAAAAAATAGTTTCGGATTTTTGCATTTGTGCCCCCCCCTTAGGTAAAAATGGTTTCTTAGTGTAGTGTGACATCTTTCCATATGTTTAAAGGTAATTTATATTTCCTTTTTTATGAACTTATTTGGTCACAGCCATTGTCAGTTTTTTGAATGTTGATCTATTTTCTTTTTTGTACATTTTTGTCAGTGTGATCAAATTCTATAACCAAATTCTTAAAATTTCTAGGGGCCTTTAGTCTGCTATGTGAGTTGAAAATATTTTGCCAGGATTTCATTTTTATTTTGACTTAGCTTGTTGTTATTATTGCCATGCAGAAATTTATTTTTTAATAGCACTAAAAAGTTTATTTTTATAAGTTGACTTTATTGGTTATGTGTGCGTGTGTATGTGTTTTGATGGCTTTGGATTTTAAATCCTAGTTAGAAAAGCCTTGCCCCTACTCTAGGATTATAAAGGGATTTTTCTATGTTTTCTAGTCTGTTTATGGTCTCATTTTTTTTAACATTTAAATCTTTAATACATTTGGGTATATCCTGCTATACGGTATAGACATGGGTCCTACTTTGTATTTTTCAGGTGGCTCCCCAAATCTCCTAGCACCATTTACTGGAAAGTCTACCTCACTGTCTTGAGATAATCACTTTTTTCACATTAAATTCACATATATATTGGACTTTCTGTTTTATTCCATTGGTCATTAAATTAATCTGTAAACTTAGGGGAATTGACTTTATGATGTTGATTCTTCCTATGCAAAAACAGTATGTCTTTCAATTTTTGAGTTATGTTTCTATTTTTTGAGTAATTGTTTTGAGTCCTTCAGAAGTGTTAAGAAGTTTTCCTAAAATAAGTTTGCACATATTCTTGATATGTCAATGCCTGGTATTTTTGTTTTGCTTGTATATGGGGATATTACATGATTTAAAAGAATTTAAATCCTTTAATTTTGTGTTCATCATTTGAAAATCTTTGTATTTGGAGCTATAGCTTCTCTTTTGTTCTGTATGCCCTTTCTGTCAACAACATTCTTTTTCTTAGGAGAACTAACAAAAAGTATTTAGTTGTCACAAAGTTGTTGATTCATTCCAGGAGGTAATTGGAATACTTGTGTATTTGGTCTCCATGAACTTTGTTGGGACCATTAGTGTTTATAAAGAACATTAATGTATATATACTAACTCTGTTTTTCTTAATGAATTCTGTATTTTTTATTAAAATACAACTGTAGACATCGTCAAACTTAAAGTGGTTAATTAAAACGTTATGTGTTTTGTCACGTTTTCATATTTTCCTTATTGTAATTACATTATTTGTGAAAAGTTTTGACCTTTTAAAATAAATTATGCACTTCGTGAAAATTCATTGAATTGTACAGTTGTGTACTTTTCTGTAAGTATGTTAAAATTTAATAAAACACTTAAAAATAAGATTTTTTTTTTTTTCTTCTCTGGGGTTTACTTAGGTTGGATTCAAATGTCGAGGGCATAGTACTTCCTCAGAAAGAAGACAAAATTTGCAAAAGAGACAAGATAATAAACAGTTAAACCCCAGTCAGTCCTACAGAGGTGACCCAAATTCTGAATCTTTATATTTTGAGGTATTTCTTCAAGCTCTACTTTTGAAATGTTATAACAAATGTTCCTATTAAGAAATTCGTGTCACATTGTAACATTATAAGTACTTTTTATTACTTTTACACATGACTCTACTATAGATTATAAATTACTGAGAAATATTGACTCATTTTTATTTGTCTTGGTGTTATATATACTTAGTCAAACATTAACTTACTAATGTTTATATAAATTTTTGCCAAGCGTGTTCATCATTTTGAGGTAACACGTAGAGGTAGAACTTCGTTTCTTGTGGCCTTCACATAGTATGAAACTTTCTCTCTTAATGTTTGTTGTTGTCCAATCCATTTGTCCAGTTTTTTAGGTTTACATATTTCAGTCTAAATTAGTATTGCTGGCCAGGAGAGCCTTGGAGAAGGAAAAGATTTTACTCTCTCCAATAGGCAGTCAGCTTATATCCTAATTACAATATTTCTATTGTTTATTCATCTTACTGGCTCTTGTTGGAAGCCTGTTACGTGTATAAATTAAGATGCTTTGAATGATACGTTAAGGTAAATAGACTCACTATCCTGGGGAGATTGCTGTGTAGTAGAGGAATACAGACATGTACATATCTATTACTTGATTGAGTGTGGTTGGAATTGAAAGGAGAGAAAAGTCACTTTGGGTTTGGGGTAGGGTAGTGCTAGCATTTGGGATGGATTTAAAAGAATGAGTAGAATTTGGTTGTGTCAGGGTAATATTTGAGTAACTCGTTTTGGTTGCATCATAGGTCTTAAAATGAGTTAATAGAGATTAAACTGGAAAAGCCTATTTGAGACCAGAGGATAGAGATGCATAATATGTTAGATAAGCTTAGTAATTGACCCAGTGGACTTGAGAGTGCATCTCACTTATTCTATCAAGAGTAGTTTCAATAGATCCAGATGTGGTAATTTTACTGTTTGCGCTCAACTATATGATTGGTTCTATACTTACATTTAGTTAAAGGTATTAAGTATAATTTTCAGTGTAAAGGAGGATATGGGTTAAGAAATGAATTTTGAAAGAACAGATGTTTTTATTTTAAACTTTTAACCCTACTGACAGTTGTATGTAGTAATGTGGGACAGGGACTATGTTAATAAAATTCATATTAAGGTTTAAAGTCCTTTCTAAATTATCTGAAACTTCGTCCAGTTTGAAAGTCTTTTCAATCATCTCAGTGTAGAATTATTAATAATGGAGTACTAGATGCAGAAATCGAAGGGATTGGCATGTGTGGTTATGCCCTCATCCTTAAATAATTACATTGGCTATGTTTTAGCATGTAAGAAATGACATTTCCTTTTTTAAAACTAACTTTAAATAATCCATTGTTAAAAAAATTGCGTTTCTCATTTTTAATTACTCTATTATAAAATTTTCTTAGAAGTTTATTGTGTTCAACTCTGTTTTCACTTAAAATGTGAAACCCAATTCCAGGATGAAGATGGGTTTCAAGAACTAAATGAGAATGGAAATGCTAAAGACGAGAATATTCAACAAAAACTTTCTTCAAAAGTAGTAAGTGACTTAAAAAAAAGCAAACTAGAACATCTGTTGACTGTGGCTATGTTGCAAAGGAACATTAAAGGTAGGTGGGTACTAAACACACGTGGGCAGTGTGGCATAGCAGAAACTGTTCAGTACTTCCTCTAATATTTCTTTTCAACATAGCCAAGGACAAAGAGATTTTCCTGTGAATTCCACAGTTCCATTACTGTACCTAAGAAAATACCATTAATTAAGTGACATCATCCAACACATAGTCCATACTAGGATTTCCGCAGTTGTTGTAAGTCTTTCCTTTGGAGTGATTTTGTTTTATTCAATCTAGGATCCAGGCAAGCATTACCCATTACATGAAGCTGTTGTGTCTCTTTATTATTTCCCAGCCTAGAATGGTCTACTGTCTCTCTTCGTTCTTTATGACATTGAATCCTTTGAAGAGTCCAGACCAGTTATCCTGTATATAGAACATCCCACATTTTGGACTGTGTTTCCTTATGATTGTTGTTTGTTGCTGTCCAGTCAGTTCCAACTCTTGGCGACTGCGTGCGTGCAGACTAGAAACATTTCATAGGGTTTTCAAAGCTTTGACCTTTTGGAAGCAGATCATCAGGCCTGTCTTCTGAGGCGTTCGAACTGCCAACCTTTCAGCTAGTAGTCGAGTACTTGACCGTTTACACCACCCAGTTTCCAACAAAAATACCATTTGGGTGAATAATGTCAGTCTGTCCTACTGTTGGTGATGCCAAGTTTGATCACTCGGTCAGAAAGTATATATTTACCCTGGTTTTTTAATTATGCCGACAGATTCTTGTAGATGCACAATATATGTTAAAGCCCATTTCTTTGCTATCATGTATTTTTAATGTCTTGGTATTCTTCTGAGATTTAGGGGATCACTAACAGATGTCTTTCTTTGGTTATCATAGTTGGATGATTTACCTGAAAACTCACCAATCAATATAGTTCAGACTCCAATTCCTATTACAACCTCTGTTCCCAAACGTGCAAAGAGTCAGAAGAAGAAAGCTTTAGCAGCAGCCCTTGCTACAGCTCAAGAATATTCAGAAATAAGTATGGAGCAAAAAAAATTACAGGTATGTATTCATTTGCAGTAATGAATGTGATAGTTTATTTGCTAAGTGTGGGGGGATGGATCAGGAATGACAAGTATAATCTTAAATTGCCGCACTTTCATACTAGAGTAAAAATAAATGTTTTCATGTTCACCTTGCAGGAAGCTTTATCAAAGGCAGCTGGAAAAAAGAATAAAACTCCTGTGCAGCTAGATCTGGGGGACATGTTGGCTGCTCTGGAGAAACAACAGCAGGCAATGAAAGCACGGCAGATCACCAACACCAGACCCCTGTCGCATACAGGTGATGGCGTTAGTTTAAGCAGGTTGCTCTTTTTGCTTTGTTAATACGTTTTGATTTTGTATTGTTAATATAAAATTATTTGGTTGTACAGGCACACATGCATGTAAGTCACCTTAGGCCACAGGCCTTGAAATTGTCCATGTTCTTTCTCTTCCCTTGGACCCCCACGTTAAGTCCTGCAGCACATCCTGTCTATTTTACCTTCAAAACATATCCAGACTCTAACTACTCACCAGCTCCTCTCCTGCCACCCTAATTGTCCCCATTGGTTTCCTCCACTGTAGTAGCCTCCTGTCTACTGCCCGTCTTCCCCTCTCACCACCCCAAGTCTATCATAGAAGGAGTGATCTTTTTAAAATATAAGCTGTATCATGCAGTCCACCGCTCAGAACTCTCCAGTGGCTCTTCTCACTTGGAGTAAAGCCCAAGTCGTGACTAAGGCCGTATCTGACCTGACCCTGTCACCTCCCCGCCCTCATCACCATCACTTCTTATGCTCTGCTGTAGCCATGTTAGCCTCTGTGTTGTTCCTCAGACACACCCATCATGCCTCTGACTTAGTGCCTTTGTGCTTGCTATTCCTTGTCCTGGAATGCCCTTTACCCAGATACAGTAGACTTTGTTCCCTCGTGTCCTTCTTGTCTCTGCCCAAATGTCAGTTGGTGTGCATTTTTTTTTTCTTTTTTTTTTTTTCTTCTTCAGAGGTTAAAATAAAACTCACAAATAACTTGGCTGTAAATTGTTGAATTACCAGTTTAAAAACCAAATGGCAAACAGGAGTTTTGATCAAGTTGTGTGTCTGTATGTAAGAGAAAATGATCTGGCTTTCTGCTAAAACAGTAATTTCTAATTTTAACAAACCTTATGAAATTTAGAACTCAGCAGCTGTGATATGCTCCCTCATTATTTTTCATAGTCTGTTTGAAAGATGAGACCTGTGACAAAGAGGAGGCACTAATAAAAAGCACTGATGTCAAGAGACAAAAGTGAATTTTCTGCTTCTTCTCTTCCTATGTAAAGGGACAATAGCTTACTGACAAAAAGATGAGCAACAGTGTATAACAGTAATCCTGTATCCTATAGCTAGTTACCCATCTAGTATAAACCTTGGGTAACTAAGTTACAGACTTAGGGTAATTAAACTTTTGAGTGACTCTTATAAAAATAATGTTGAATGCATACTATCTTATAAAAATAACGTTGAATACATACTAAACTTGAGAGTTGTGTGTTGTTGAGATGGAGAGAGTTGTGGTAGCACCTCACTAAGAGTAATAGATTACAAGGAGTGGAACTGAGAGTTAACAATGTTGTGGAGACAGTGTGACCCTAGGGGCTCTAGAGTCAAGGTGCCTGAATTTAAATCCTGTTCTTCTGCATATTTCTTAATTAACTTTCCTATACTACTGTTTGCTTGAGGATTAAATGAGATGATACATGTAAAGTTCTCAGAAGAGTGTAAGATACAATCTCTCAATAAATGTTAACTAATCTCATTATGGAGAAGAAGTTACTAACCTGTGGTACTTCAAATGGCTTACTATTACAACTTGGATTTAGCTAATGTTAATATATACAACTGTAAAAATGCAAAGCATGGTGTCAGGAACTGTTGGGATTACAAATATGATTAAGATATACCTGTGGTTGAGAAGTGTATGGCCTAGTGGGGGAGAAAGGCATACACAGATAAATAATAAAAAAACAGTGCCTTAGGAAAGATATAAAAGTTATTTGAACATGTGGGAGAGTGATTTATGTCAGTACAGAAGTATGGAGAGGTTGTTATGAAGACTTCATAAAGATGACATTTGAACTGGGCCTTGAAGGGGAATAGGATTCTTGACAGATAGCAATGAGATTAACCTCCAGTTTAAACCAGGGCTTCAAACCAGTTTGAACCAGCTGATGAAGCAAAAAATGGACAGACTCAAATTTTTACAATTTGGGTGATTCAGCATGGTGACTGGAATGGGAAAATTACGGATCAAAGCCCTGGAATGGGAGACTTGGAAGAGGTGTAGGGAACCCTTTCAGGAGAGTCACGTGTGAGATTGGATTATTGGCAGGACTGGAAAGTGACACACACTGAAAATGGTGTGGTCAGCTGCCATCTTTGAGTGGGGTGCTGCCAGAACGAGGCACCACTGTTTGTGGCTCTGCTCAAAATCCAGTGGGCAAGAGATTAGGTTGCTATGTAATACATATGCTGCCCCTGTTTTCTAAGAGGGAGATACAGTTTCTAGCAGGGCTTCAACCTGTAATTTTTCCCATTCTGTTTACTGTTCCAGTTCACCCAAATGTTTTTTTTTTTTTTTTATTTTATTTTTTTTTATTGTACTTCAGGTGAAGGCTTACAGAACAAATAGTTTCTCATGAAACAGTAGTACACATATTGTTTTATGACATTG